GCCACAGAGTCACCTGGGCTCTCTCACAGCCTGCCCATGGCATCCAGCCCTATAGACAACCAGTAAAGATGTGCAAGTGACTCCAATATCTCCCCCAACAATCCACCCCACTTCTTGGATACATCAAGCTCTCCCAAAGCACAAATCCGGTCAGGTTCCTCCCCACCAAAAATGCCAACAAAGGCTCTATCTCCTGTGCTCAAGGCTGACCCCTGTGACTGGCAGCCAGGCCCCCACCACACAGGCTAACCTCCTGCCCCATTTTCTCCCTCACTGCTTCCCCACATGCCCTAACGCACTTGTCCAAATGGGCAGTGTGCTGCCATCCAGACACACACAACTCTTCCTACCCGCCCACCTCAGCTCATGGTCCTCTCTGCCTGGACCACTCTCTACCCCTATTTCCACATAATGCAACTTCATCCACCCTGCTAAGCCCACCTCAGGTGCCACCTCCTCCACGAAGCCTTCCTTCTTCCTGCCAAATGCCTGTGACTGTAACTTGTCCTCTTCTAAAACCCTCAGCATTGTGTGGCTCTTCCTGGCATTCACCCTAATTACTAGACCACACCCCAGGCCCACGGAACATGAGCCCAGGAACATCTCTGAGACACCCAGAGTGGCCAGTGCCATGTCATGCAAGCAGCAACCCTTGGCAATGGCTATCTATGGACAAGGGGGTTACCAGAGGACAGGAGAGCCTTCCAGGGTGGGTGTGGGACCACTGTAAAGTTCCTGGGGGCCTCTGGCCAGCCTAAGGCACTGTTGACTATCTGGGGACCTTCCCTGCCACAGCCACCAACCACAGCAGTCCTGGAGGAGCTGCCCTCCACTCCCTCCAGCTCCAGCGCTGCAAAAAATGTTTTCCTTTCCATTGCTTAAATGCTTCCAATGGTGACAAACCGAACACCACAGACAGGAGGAGATAAGAGTCCAGTGAGTGTAAGTGAGAAGCAGAGAGCAGCTATGTGTGTGTGGAGGGTACTGGGGCAGGAAAGTGTGAGCGCAGGACTGGCCAGCCAGCTGCATGCTGAACAAACAATGGAAAGAAAAACAAGCTCTGACCAAAATCAGAGCCGTTGTGTCCTGCATGGCAGGACCCCTTCATTCTTCCTGACGCCCTTAGTCTACAACCATGGTTCCAGACAGCGCTGCTCAAGGGGGACAGTCAGGGTGAAATGCATAGGTTTGACAACCCCAACCCGGTCCCAACCAAGGTCCCCTGTGCAGGGCAAGAGGACGAGTGAGGTGGCCAAGCTCCGTAAGCTGCAAGCAGCTGCAAGGGTACAGGAGGCTGAGTACTTTAGGATCAGAATGGGCATGGCCCCAGGATCAGGGCCCTGAACTCCCCAACCTGGAGAAGAGCCTCGCTTCCCAGCTACTCACTTTCCTCTCCTGTCAGTAGGGACAGCAACTACCTCGAAGCTCTCATGTGGCAGCCTGAGGTCCGTGCAAGAGGTCAGCCACCAGCAGGCTTGGGAAACCATGGAGAATCTCACTTGTGCAAGCCAATGACACTGGCTGGGCAGGGAAGATGACACACCTTGGCTCCATAAGGATCACCTCTGGCCTGGTAGTGCCACCCTTGGGGAGCTATCATAAGGACCAACTCTTAAATAAAGAAAAGAATCACACACATGAAAAGCATCTAGCTAGCTGAGAACAGGAAAATGTTAAAGTGAACGAAGATTTGTCTACTCAATGGACTCGTGAAAAATTTTCAAAAATTACACATATAATTACTCAAAATGGTGATGTGTAACATTAATTGAAAAAAAATCAGATTTACTTGTATCATTTTTTCATTTTTTTGAGTTGAAATGAAGGTTTAATTTCATATCTTGATATAGAAAAAACTCAATGATTTGAATATATAACTCCTACTTTGAATTTTAAAAAGCTACATTTTAAGAATATACTAGAAAATAAAAGAATGAACAGTGATGATGTTTATATGGTAGCAAAGAGATAACTTTTTTCCTACTTTAATGTCATTTTCAGATATTCTTTTAGGAGTAACTATTACTTTTAAAATAAAAAAAGGAGTAAACATATTTTTAAAGTAGTTCAGGTACAGAAGGGTGGCACTTCTGATACAGAAGCGAGAGAGGGAGAAGAGGTTAAATTTCTGGGCCAAACTCCAGACAGGCCATCTTGAGACTTAACTCAGAGGAGCACAGTCTGTCCGACCCAGCCTTCCTGCATGATACCAAGGGCTCAGACTCCATCCTCACTTTCCTGGAGGAAAAAAAAAATACAAGGAATGCCGTGAAAGCAGCGAAATAACCGAAGTAGCAAAAACACAGCCCTTACTCTAGGACAAAACCATACACCACAGCTCAAAGCAACAGTAATTTCTAGAATTAAAAAAAAAAAAAAATGAACACAAAAAAGGCAGCAATAAAGAATCATGACAGACTCAAGACAGCACTACTGATGACTGGAAACAGTGTGTCCTTCTGAAAGTTGCCCAGCAGAAACCCCGCAACACTGCCAAGTGCCGCACGGCAGCCAGACTTCCTGGCAGAACATGCCCCAGACGCCACACGATACGCAAGGACTGCTCCTTTTATTTTATGACTATTACATTTTTGTAACTCATAATAACCCATTTCTTAGGAAGCAGATCCTAGGCATATATAAAAATAAATCTCCGGAAGCACATTATTGATCGCCTAAAGAACCCAAGAGTCAACTGGGTGTTTGGGGCTGCCCCAGGGTCATCTCTGACAACTCCTTCCCCAGCTCCTGACACAGGCCCCTCAGGGGGCTGGGGGCTGTGCCTGGAGGGACATCAGTGACCTAACCCATCTGCTTCGAGGAGCTCTCTACAGAAACCGCCCCAAATACACCAAGCTATGGGCAGAGGCAGGACTAACTCAGAGCGGCAGAGCACCTTCCTGGAGTAATTAGAGAGCTCAGCATTAGAGAGCAGCAGGGGGGTGGCTGGGCATCCTGGCTCTTGTCATCTGTCCTGCACAATTCACTGCGGCTCTCCTACAGCTGTGAGACAGACTGTCTCCTCTTCCATGAGGAGCTACATTTCACCTTCCTCTGGGGACCTCTCATAATCTGACCGAAGGTTTAGCACATGTTGGGCAAGGACCTACTAGCTGACAGAGAGAGGTGAGGGAGGTCAGGCATTCTTCCCCGATTTCCTGTGTCACTTGACAGTTCTTCAGCCATGGCATTTCATTCAAGGCCAATCACAGATGCAGGGCCATAGGACTGCGCTAGCCCCAAAGGCCCATCTCATTGAGCCCTTTTAGACTTGTTTAGCCATAGAACCCTTTGAGCAAATAGATTCTATGCCACAGCCTGATATACAGGCAGTCCCTGAGTTACTAATATCTGATTTATTTTCGACTCGCACTTAAGACTAGAGGCTAATACAGGGTATTAGGTAATACACCTGTTACAACTTACATACAAATTCAACTTAAGAACAAACCCATAGAACCTGTCTCATCTGGGGAGTCCCTATATATAGCAGATCAAGATAGATGTCAGGAGTGGTGTGGGGGCAGTAAGAGGTAGGATGATTCCATCGGCCCTGGGCTCTTCACAATGCAAAGTGAAACAGCTCTCTGGTGCAGTCCTTCATTTTACAGGGGGAGAAACTGAGGCTGAGAGAGACCAAGTGGCTCAGTCAAAGGCGTGCAAGTGGTCAGTGGCAGAGCTGGGACCAGCACCTATATCTGTCTTCCCGCTAATATCTAGAACAGAGCCAGCCCTCCTCCAGTCTGAGCTGCCCACAGCTCCGACACAGGGCCTGCCCACAGAGGGCACACATGGGGCCCCTGACAGCCCAGATGTAACTACTGTTTAGAAAAGTAGGCCTCCATGCCAGACAGACCTGGGTTCAAACCCCAGCTCTGCCATTTAAGTGGCTGTGTCACCCTGGCAGGTGCCACAGCTCCTCAGTCAGCACTACCTGTAACAGGATGTGGAGGAAGGTTTGGTGAGCCAACAGGGCGGCTCCTGGTTCACTAGGAAGGATCTGAAACTCAAGCTCTTCTGCCTATGCCCTGTGGTGGGCTCATGTCTCTCCTTCAAGCTCCTACTTGATGGAGTCCCTGAGCCCTTGGCTTCAACAAGGAGAACACTCAGAAGCCTCAGTGGTGCTAGAACCTGTCTGCAGAGAGCAAGAGCTATCAGAATGGATGGCCTGCTCTTCTCTGCAGTAGGACAACCTGCCAATGGGAAACAAGATTCAACTTTCAATTCCTGAGCTTCTGGTTCACTTCTCCTTCACTTTTTGTCTGCTGGGCCAGAAAAGCAGACCTCTCTACCAAATGGCCTGGCCGTTCCCTGGGCTATCAGGTCCTGCCTGGTCTGGAAACTGCTAGAAAGTCAACCTGCCACAGTGCAGACAACTGATAACCCCAAGGCCCTGAACACCTCTTCCCACCTCTAAGAAGCTCAGATCACAGTTTACTGGGGCCAGAAACTGGGCAATATCCAGGGTTCCAGACCAATCAAAGGTCAATCACTGGGTGAAGCACCCAGAAACCAGGTATAGGCCACAGTTGTACCTCTCCTTCCCTCGTGGAAGAGAAGCCCAGAAAATCCTTTTAATTGTGCATCAGAGTTTCATAGAAAGTCCTGGTGGGTCATAATTTGTATCTTTGACATATAATTTTGATATTTTAAAATTGGGTAAGTACAGGTTCAAATTAGAAAGAAAAGGACCACAAATTTTAATGGAGAATCATCTAGTCCAACCTGCCATTTTTCCAATGAGCAAACTAAGTTGGGAGTTGAGGATGGAAGCCACAATGATGAGTGCCCTGCACCACTCATGCTGTCCTCACAAATGGGCCCCAGGAGCTGTGCAACCCAGTGTACCTCTGGCTGGCTAGCTTGGCTGGCTTCCTCATGGTCTTTTGGGTCTCGGGGGACTCCAGTCTCTGACACAGGGCCCCAGCAGTATTGGTAGAGCCAGAGAAATGGATGAAAAGCTAACCCCAGGGGCTACTGCTCCTGGAAGGCCAGGTTACCTTTGGGCATGATCTGATGCATGGCGATGGACAGGAAGAAGATGGAGTCACTGTAGTAGGTCCCTGAGCCAGCACTGAAGTGCTTCTGCATGGCCTCCACAACAGGGAACAGCTTGTCCGTCAGCACCGCGACATCGTGGAAGATGACCTGAAAGCACAAGAAAACCACAGGGCTCACCAAACTAGCTCTCACTCCAAGCTCGACAGTGCGCACACACCTAGACCAGGAACAAAAGCAGACTGCACCTCACCAGGGCCCAAGAGCTGGGGGAGGGTACGGGCAGCATCGGAGAGTTAGGAAAATGAGGAATGGTGGGAAGCCAGGGTCCAGGCTGCGCAGAGGCTGGCTGTGGGAGAAGGGCAGCATGCAGGCATGTGGTGGGGGGAGTGCAGCAGAGAAGAGTGGGAGAGGGGACAGAAAGCAGGTGCAGTCCCCAGCGTGCTTTCTGCTTTTGAACTTCAAGTTGGGCCATGATGAAGGGAGAAACCATGTTAATACATCTGGTCCAGGAATTTAGGATCTTCAGCACGTCTGGGTGGCTGCTGGCATTGCCACCCCTGGCGGCCACTACATGTGTTCCATAGACCAGTCAGATGCCCCAGTTTCACCTCCCTCATTAGAGAGTAGGAACAAGGAAGGGAGTGGGCCACTGGAAAATGGGACCCCCAAAACACTCAGTGCTGCAGAAAACTCATCCATCCTCCCATCCAGTCAGCACTTCCCGACTGTCCCACATATCTTGGGGGAGCTGATTAGTGAGAAGAAATAAGCAGGTACTGTTTTCCTCAAAGTTCGCAGGAGTCCAGAGGTGCCCCCAACTGCTGCTCAGAGCTCTGCAGGTTTGAAACACACACACACACACACACACACACACACACGCTGATCCCGGGACCCCAGGGAGGCAGACATCACCACCACAGCCTCCAAAGCACAATGAGAAAGAGATGCTCAGGGAGGACACAAGTGCTCGAAGGCACAGCTAACAAGGGCAGTCAGAACTTGGCCTGGGCTCCATCCCAAGGCCACATCTTTCCACCACAGTCCTATCCTTGGTCCTCAACAGCGATCAACAAAGGAAGGAGACATTACCTCGGCCAGCAATTAGAGTAGACAAGGTACTAATGGGCCTTCGGTGAGTTTTCTGTGCCAGAGGCAAGGACACTATTCCAGAAGATGGGAAGTGTAGCCCCAGCCCCAGGCGTTCTGCTCACATTGGCTTTCCGGTTGCTCCACCTGCCACCACAGCATCCCAGTCACCGCTCTGCATGAGGAACACCTCAGGAGCCTGGGTGTTCCTCCGTCTCTTCCCCCCAGAGTGCCCCTAAGCAATATGAAGATGAGGCCTTTACCTCCCCGTCCCAACCATCTACTCTGGTCACTGCAGGATAGGACAAGCCTGCCAGGCTGCCGCCCGGGGCTCAGCCACTGCTTCAGAGCCACACCTGCTCTGAAGAACCTACCTGGGCCTATGTTAGCAGCAAAAGGTGCCGCTGCATGAACCCCCTGACTGGCCTGTGGCCCTGCCCGTGACCTCCCTGAAGGAGACAGGAAGTTCTCCAATGGGTAGCTCTGCTCTGCCACTTAGCTCTGCACTCACCCACATCCTCCCACCCTGTCCATCACCTCAGTCTCTGTCCCCTGGGCTGCCATGATGGTGAAGCGCCTGTCTGCTTTCTCTGCTTTTGACTCTGTTTTAACCTACATTTCCCTTAATTCTCGTATTTCTCATATACATATCTCTTATCTGCCTTACTTCTCTTTAACTTTAACCTGTATTTATTTCTCTTAGCTCACATAAGCCTTTGCTTTTTCATTAATGCTCCTTAAATTTCTAAAAATCTATTAAACTTAAAAGAACCATTTATGTGGCATCGGTCTTCATCATCCCCTAAAATGACACAACTCTTTAAATCTTTTCCCTTTATAAAAGCCTTTGAAAAACTTATTGACATTTCTCTTCTAATGTACTGTTTTCCTTTATCCTTTTTCTGGCTCCTTTTTTTTCTTTTTTGTGGCCTCTCAGACTCAGATGGAGAATCCAGACCAGTTCCTGCTATTTCCCAACAAATCCCAAATTAAGTCTCTCACCCCCGACCCGGGACCCCACTGCTCCCTCTAGCCCCCGCCCCAGTACTGCCCTGACAGGTTTCCCCACCTCCTGCCTCACCCTGGTCCAGAGAGCCTCTGATGTCCCTCCAAAGCAGTGTTTTCAACCTTTTTTATCTCATGGCACACTTGAACATATAGTTGAACTTCTGCAGCACACTTGTGTTGATCAAAAAAAAAAAAAGAGTAAAAAATATGTATATCTTACTGCGCTTTGAATTTCTTTTGAAAATCATTTAATTAATGACCCTTCAAAATTTTCACAGCACACCTCAGATCCTCTCACAGCACACCAGTGTGCCATAGCACATTGGTTGAAAATCAGTACGCTAGAGTCATTTTCCAAATACATAATTCACATCTCTTCTTGGCTTCACAACCTTCGATGGCCCCTCCCTGCCCTCAGCTACAGTCCAGTCTAAATTCCCCGGCAAGGCTTATGAGCCCTGCGAGCCCTGCAATCATGGCTCTGGCTACCTCTCCTGCCATCCCCACCTCCTGGGCAGAACTGAGCCTGGCCGCCCCCCTCCGGCGCCCACACCTGTATATCCTTGTATACCTGCTCTTACACTTACTCTTCCACCATCTGCAACTCCCTCTCCCAGCCCCCATCTTCCTGGTGAGCTCCCATCCAGTCTTCCAACCCTCCCCTCCAGCTCGCCCATGGCCTCCCACAATTCAGACCCCACACCACATGGGGGCTCCACTTACCCACTCTTCAGGGCTCTGTTCCTACATCTGCTGGAGGGGGCACTCCTGGAGGCTGTGACCACTTCCAGGCCATATATCCAGCTCCTGGCCACATGACAGGCCAGCAATATAGCTTTGCTAAACTAAGTTAACTGCACCTTTGGCAAGCCCCTAAACCTCTCTGAGACTCAGTTTCTTCGGGAATGGCAACACCTACCTCTCATGGTATCTGTTAGGGTGGTCTGGGACAGGCACCCAGTCAAGACTTGCCACACCGAACGTATTCTTTCTTCAGTGTGAGCATCCTGCTGTCTCCTCTCCTGGCCCTGTGCCCTGAATCCCCTCTCCTCACAGGTCAGTCTTTACTCATTAGCCAGCCTCTCCCTCTGAGCCTCATTACATCTGTAAACCAGCATCATTGGAAGCTGGAATGAGGCAAGAAGCTGGAAGCTGGCAAGAGGTTCTTAAAGAAGCTGAAGCCACTGCAGTCATTAAAAAGAAAAGGAATGAATGGATCAGTGTGCATACACACACATGAAGAGCAGGAGCTTAACTCCCCTACCGGTCCCATCTCAGCCCGGAGCCACACAGGAGACAACGCCATCCTATCAGCATTAATAGATTTATGAGGACAAACTGTACTCAGTACACTGTTCCACTTGCCCGCTTCAGCGAATATTTCAAGTAATAAATCAAATTAAAGACAAATTAATGTTTCATGGAATACACTCTATGCAGCAAGAACCAAACAGACATTGCAAGTGTGAACCAAAACGCTCAGCCCTCCCAAAGCCTAAAACAAGCTTGCAAATTGTGACCTCCCCAAGGATGGGAGCAGAGTCTAGCTTAGTCCAGAGCCCCAGCCTAGACCAGGCTCTGGCTCCTGGCAGGAGGCCACAAGGCAAGGGTGAAGAGATGAAAAGAGAGGGAGGCAGGAGGGAAAAGACCACCCCTTGCTCCTTCCCTCAAGTCCCCCACCTCAGGGGCTACAGGAAGAACTTACCAGCTGACCTAGAAAACCAGCAGTATAAGGTAACTCCCATATTGAAGGCAATTGGCCAGTGAGAAGATGACTTATGCCAACTTGAAAATATGATTTTTAGGAATGTAGACAAAAATCACATATTAATTTATTTATAGATGCATATTTAAAATAAAAATCTAATTAACTACAAAATTCTATTTTTCCTACACCCAGCTTACAAAATAATTCCTTTCAAACTGTTCCTGTCCATCAACAGCAAGGCCTTTATCACCCTAGAGTCAAGTCACCCAGAGCACACCATCCTCACCAGCTGTGTGAGGTGCTTGGGGTGCAGCTCCCTGTGAATTTATATAGAATGCTATCATTGGAAATGTTATCCCAACCCACAAGAATCCATGTTCACATCATTAAGGCAGTTATTACCTTCACCAGCCTACAGTCATATATTTATAGCCACTTACTAATTGTCCTTTTATTAGTGATCTTTATTTTTTTCTTTTTTTGAGATGGAGTCTCACTTTGTCACCCCCAGTAGAGTGCCATGGCATCATAGCTCACAGCAACCTCAAACTCTTGGGCTCAAGCAATTGTTTTGCCTCAGCTTCCCAAGTAGCTAGGACTAGGCACCCACCATAATGTCCGGCTATTTTTAGAGATGGAGTCTTGCTCTAGCTCAGGCTGGTCTTGAACTCATGAGCTAAGGCCATCTGCCCACCTCAGCCTCCCACAGTGCTGAGATTCCAAGCATGAGCCACCATGCCCGGCCTTTATTAATGATCTTTAAAGGCTTGTTTACAATATCCCACACTTAAAATTAGGAGGTCAGACCCCCTCCCTCCCCCAGAATAATGATTAAGTCTGTGTTAAATTTCTTTGCCTCCTTTTAATTAATTCTGTCAAGTGACTTCTAGAAGCATCAAAATCCAGTCATGATTGAGGGTTTTTCCAGGCTAAGGTGTCTGCAAATGGAACTGTGTTGCTCAGAATGAAGCATGTAAGTGTGAGAGCATGATGTAATGCAAGAGACTCTGGAAAGACTCAACTCTTTTGAGAAGGACAGTTTGGGGAGGAGGGGCAGCAAGAAGGAAGTGTGCCTCATTCTGCCACACACAGCACATCTGACACATCCAACAGGTGGCCAAAGCAACCAGTCATGGCAACCTGTCATGGGCCTGAACAGCCCAGCCAACCCCTCTGAGCAATCATGAGGGATGTAAAGCCATGCGGAGCCCTTAGTGCAACCTAGTAAAGAAAACTTTTATCACATGGCCTGCCCTACCGGGAGTCAGGACACAGTCATGCTTCTGGAGCCCACAAGGGAGGTGGTGATGGCTGGCTCTGAGCACAAGGAGATGCCAGGTTTCCA